AAATACAGAGAGGACAGCTAATATGATATAATAACAAAATCCAAACTAAAACTGGCAGTTTAAGATGTTTTCGACTAACCCACCTTGTATCTGAAGAAATACAATACAGCTATAAAACTTTTAATCCGATTATGTTGTTCGTCCGACATGAGGCAAATCCGGGTCGTCTCTAACTTCTTGTAAAATTTTGTTTAAGTTGGGTATTTCTTTTTTGTAAAAAAATTCGTGAATTTTCCTTCGCGTACCATTTTTGGCAAATTCATCAATTTCAATAGGTTCTCTGCAATGGGCTATGAAACATCAATAAAATGAGTTACAGAAAGCTACAAAGCAAAGGTTCTGTCAAATTTGAAAAGAAATTATAGTCACAAGCAATACCTGGTCAGTCGTACAAAGAAGTAAAACCTTGCTTCAGATGTGGGAGAAAACATGACCCTGAAAATTGTCCAGCGAAAGTATGGGAGTGCTTCAAATGTCACAAAAAGGCCACACAAGTAGAGTTTATCGCATTGCAGTTGTTACATTATTAAATGAAAATGTCGAGTTAGGTGCGGAGTCTCAAAACGAAGAAAACTCCTTAGAACTGGGATTTAGTTGCTGACATCAAAAGTAAATTTTCAGAAGTGTTTGAAGAGCAACGTTATTCATATATACAAAGGTTTTTAGTCGAGTTAAAAGTCAAGAAAGGTACCCAACCTATCTTTCATCGGGCCTATAACATGTCATTTGCCTTGCGTGCAAAAGTGGAAGCTGAGTTTTCAAAAATGGAAAATCAAGGTGTCATTTCTAAAGTAAGTTTCAGTAACTGGTCAAGTCCAATAGCCATTGTTCCTAAAAAGAATTCAGAAAATATAAGAATTTGTGTAGACTTTAAAAATACACTAAATACCATTTTGGAATCAGATCATTGTACATTGCCCATCCCTGAGGACATTTATGCTTGTTTGAGTGGGCAAAAATGTTTTTGTGTAATAGATCTCAAAGGAGCTTATCAACAGCTCCGAGTCAGTGAAAAATCTAAAGAGTTGTTAACTATAAACACTCATGTAGGTCTCTATTCTTATAATAGGTTGACCTATGGTATTAGTACTGCCCCAGGAATTTTTCAGAATGTCATGGATATCATCTTGGCAGAATTACCAAACTGTAAGGCTTATCTTGATGATGTCCTGGTTTTTGGAGAAACTGTAGAACATTGTTACAAAAATTCAATTAAAGTATTTAAGCGTTTTCAAGAATATAACGTTAAGTTTAATAAAAACAAATGTAAATATTTTGAAGATCATGTAGAGTTTCTAGGGCATATTATAGATTATAGATCAACAGGGAATCCACCCTACTGACGAAAAAATTTTGTGTTTGGAAATGGAAACACCAACCAACGTACCAGAACTCAAATCGTATTTAGTTCTACTTAATTACTATGTAAAATGTATACCCATGTTATCCATACAGGTTAAGCCGTTATATGATTTATGTAAAGGAGTCATTTTTGAGTCAAACTGTTCGGCAGAATGTCAGAAGCCTTTTAACTTGAGCAAAGAACTCGTGACATCTGATAGTGTGCTGATTCACTATGACCCAAAACTACCCTTATATTTAACTTGCGATAGCAGTGGATATGGAGTGGGTGCGGTGCTTAGTCATAGAATAAACAAGGAAGAAAGACCTATTATGTTTGTTTCAAGTACTTTATCACCAACGGAAAAAAAATTTCAAATTTAGAAAGAGAGAGTTTAGCAATTATGTTTGGCTTTAAAAAATTTCACAAGTATATTTTTGCAAGAAAGTTTGTTTTAATCACCGATCATCAGCCACTTCAATTTATATTTGGGCGTAACAAAGGCATTCCAATATCAGCGGCAGCCAGAATTACCAGATGAGCTATAACTTTGGCTGGTTATGACTACACAATAGAGTACAGAAAAGGTTCCTCAATAGATAACGCAGATGGGTTGTCCAGATTACCTATGGACAGTAGTAACACGATATCACAGATTCTCTGTTCTTTTTCAACTTGTTAGATAAAATACCCCTCAATGCAGGTGATATTGCTTATGAAACAAAGAAGGACCGGATTTTAGTTAAAATTTTAGATTTTACCCGATTAGGGTTTCCTAGCAAAGTAGAAGATTAATTCACAACTTATTTTGGGAAAAAACAAGAACTCTTAGTTGAACAAAATTGTCTAATGTTGGGTAGTCGAATTGTCATCCTAGAAAAATTACGTATCAGGGTTCTGGAACTTTTTCATGAACAGCATACTGGCATAATTCGTACAAAAATGTTGATAAGACCATATTGTTGGTGGCCAGGCATTAGTTGTGATGTTGAAAAGTTCATTAGTTGCTGTGATGTTTTCCAACAAAATCAAAACCTGATTAATACTAATCCTCTTGTTTCATGGCCTTCTTCTCCCATTAACTTTTATCGGGTATTTATCAATTTCTTCCCAACAAACGGCCGAACATTTTTGATTTTATTAGATAAGAAGTCAAAATGGCTCGATATAAAATACATGAAAAACGGCACTTCTGCTAAAGAAACAATTTCAATGTTGAAAGATATTGTTTGCACAATTGGGCTGCCATGCGAATTAGTATCAGATAATGGCCCACCCTATAACGCGAATAAATTTGTAAGTTTTTGTCAAGCTAATGGCATTAATAGAATCAAAACCCCTCCTTTTTATCCCCAAAGTAATGGCTCTGCAGAAGTCAGTTCAGACAGTAAAGAAATATTTGAACAAGTATTTATTTTCTCTAAATAAGGAAGAAATATCAGAAAATTTAATGCTGCATAAAATAAGTAATTTCTTATTCTCTTATCGAGATACTCTATCGACAGTCACTGGCCTCACTCCTGCGGAATGTATTCTGAAGATAAAACCTAGAACAATATTTGAGAACCTAATTACCACAAGATTAAATCTCAACCAGTCTTCAACGGTACAAACTGTTATAGACTATATAAATTAAATTAGGTATCAGATTTATATTAAGAATACTCAGACAAAGTTATGGAATAATACAAAAAAATTTAAAATTCTCAGTCATTCGACATATTTGGCTTTAACAGAAAATTAAACAGTTAAAAAGGTGCATGCTGATAGTATTCGTTTAGCTTTTCATAAAACTAATACTGGAACACAACCAAATATGACGTAATCATCCATCTTACCCAATTGTATCCCTGTAGATATTAACGTTCCTGACCCTAATCCATTGAGCAACTCAAGTTGTAGTAGTTACACGAACATAGCTGGAAGTTCTTCAAATAGACCTGTAGATGTTGCTGGTGCTAGTAGAAAAAGGGCACTTAGTGCTGACCGTTCTCCTTCGGAAGTTGTGAAACCTGAAAATGTTCTGACTACACGATCTGATAGATTAGTTAAACAACCCAGCCGATTAACCTGTGAATTATGTATAACATTGTTTCTCAAGAAGGAAGGAAGTGTTGTGAACCTACCTTAAGTTTTGGAGAGTGTGTGTTCGATGGCCGGGATGATTTGTGAACTGGCTTATGGAAGTCAAGATTTCGGAATAAAAGTATGTCCTTAAGAATGCGTTTTATTGTCAAATAAATGAAAATACACAGCATCAGAGAGGGTGTTTTTTTGTCAAAAATTGAAGTATTCGGTACTATTGTTGATCAAGAGGTAGAAATTTCAATAATTTATCTATCATTAGCGATAATTCATTATGACTGCAGTCGATTGTAAAATTATTGATAATTGATTATGGTTGAAGTAGGGATTTTTAAATGTTAATATTATAATCAAGAGTAGTGCTAGTCACCCGAAACTGATTCCAAATTTAAAGAAAGGAGTTAGGAAAAATGTCTTTTACTGCTTGTGATTTCTGAGAACCACATCAGTTATGTATTTGAAATAATGAAAAATACATGCTTTCTTCACTGAACTTGAATAGTAAAGAAGTTCATTGGTTCATTGGCCTCTTGCCTAAAGGGGATTTGAAATATGCGATACTTCCCCCGGTGTCGAAGTTGTGACGAGAGAAAAATACATCGTTTATGGTAGTAGTGTTTATTTTTGTTGAACTTATGTTAATTATTCTAGTGAATTGGAGAAGATTCTGTCGATTATCACCTTTTGTCGATTTAAATATGAGCGATTCAGAAATAAGTTGAAACTATCAATACTATACATACCTCAGTGTGACTTGTGGGCAAAATGATTTTGATGCTGTGATCAACTTTCATTGTTTTCCTCAGAAAAGCGACTCAAAGTTTTGTAAAATATATTAAAATTAAAAGAGTATTTGAAAATATGATGAAAATTCAGAAAATTTTCTGTAATATATCAGCCACTTTACATATGATTGGAAAAAGTCATAAATCATAAGCAACTATAAAAATAATAATACAAATCAACGTAAGACATCAACAAAAACCAAGTTTCGAAAATCCAAACTAGTTTTGAGAAGTTGGGAGTTTGTATCATTCCTGCGAATGATTTAGAGCACCTTCAAAATTCCACATAATTCGAAAAAACTTTTCGCTCAACACCAAGATGTAGATGTTAGTAAATAACATACCGAAACAGTTTTTGCACGAATTACATGAACAGTCACCAAGAAAAAATCCAAGAAAAACAGTTGAACTATTTCAAAATAGAGGCACAAAACACACTGGTTTGCGAATAGATTTGAATGTATGATCTAGATCTAATGTAGACATTTGTGTTCTGCACTTTTGCTTCTATGGCGCTTGCATCTGATTTTGGATTCCCAATTCCTATTCAAGAAGATTAAGTATTTAGCAAAAACGCCTTAATGAATGTAAATACTATTCATAAATTTTAATATAAAATATAAATAAAATATAAAATATAAATACTATTTGATGTAAATACTATTTACATTCATATGTCAAATGTCGTACTTTTTCAACTCCGGAATGGGCAATCTATCTTTTGACAGGTAGCCCCAGTAACTCAGGCGCTCAGGCCATTACATGAATAAGAAGAAGAAGAAGAAAAGTTACTTTTTGTTAGGATTTGGCCTTAAATTGATAGATTGACTTTTGCCTGGTAATTGGTCTCACTTGTAGTTTGTGTACTATTATTTTTTCTATAAAGTGCTCTTATTTTACATGCGTACGTTGTACGCTTCAATAACATTTTGTGCATTTTCAAAATAATCAATCACGACAGTTCAAGTGCTGTAAAATAATTTGAAAATGACAGAGGAACGCCTCCATATAGTAAGTTGTCACTTATATATTATTTACAATGATATTGTTTGGGAAATCTCGTATTTCACTTTTTCAACCAACCAAATCAAAGTTGCAATTGAGGCACTTTAACAGTAGCAATTTGTTTTTTAGGATTGGGGTAATGATAAGCTCCATAGAACTCAAAAGCAGGTGGAGCGAAACCCATATGATCTGGAAGCCTGGTCACTTCTACTCAGGGAGGCTCAAAATAAACATATATCGGAAGTCCGCTCTCTGTACGAACACCTGATAACTATTTTTCCCAGTGCTTCAAGATATTGGCGCATCTACATAGAACATGAAGTGAGTAAGATGAAAGATAGATAAAGCTTTTTTTGGCCTCTTAATAAATAAAAGGGAACTTCTAAAGTTGCTAGGAAGTATTGGAACCTCTGGCATAAAATGAAAGTTCTATACCAAAACAAAAATACTGTCGAAATGCACCTCAAACAGTATTTTTGTTCTAGTGTGGTGAAAGTGTATTCAACAAATACTTCTAAAGAAAAAACAATTCCAATGCAAACGTTTTAGCAAAGGGACAGATCATCCCCAAATGACTTATCAGATACAAGCCAATAGATAACCTCTTTCAAAACATCTGCTTTCCCTTATGTACTTATGTTACCCCGATATCACTTTTTTCAATTTCTACATCAGTCACAATTCTGCAAGTATGCCTGTCTAGTAGCACATACATTCAAACATAATTGAATAAAATCAATTGTTTTATTTCAGTTTCGTCTAATGTTAAAAATAGAATACATTCATGTTTGCTTCATTAATATTTATCTGACCTGTTGTTAATATTTATCTAACCTGTTGGGGGACATCTGTTTGCAACCTAAACAAATGATATAGTCTGCTGGGTGATTGGCAGAATATACCACTCTGAATGAAAGTTGAAACAAATATATTAAACTATAAGCAACACGAATGTACAGTACTACTTATATAAATTGTAAGTTGCCAAATGTTTTGTTCTTGGCGTCTGGATTTATCAAGTTGCCTTGAAATGAAACCTGCAATGAAAGACGTAAGTCAGAGCACTAATCTCATTCGGTGGTTGATGATGAGGTTTGGCATTGCAAATGCCTGTGATATTTCTAGATTGTTGATCCCATAGATCAGGTGTTCCCAACCTTTTTGAACCTGCGTATCACTTGAATTTTTGAGAAATATTGGCATACCACCAGACCTAAATATTTTAATAAATGCGTAATATTTAATGAAAAGAGAAATGAAAATTTCTGTTTTTCACTCTTCTAAAAGTGTTCAAATGCTTTTTTAATTAAATTCCTGGGAAAACTTAATATTTAATGGTTAGATATTTGTTTATTTATAACATGTGTATAATAAAGGAGGGATAAAAAGATTAAAATGGTATTAATTTACAGTTTTATTTATTACCCATAGGTCTAAAAACATAAATAAAAAATTATTAAAAACTCAGCAAAAAATGAATCATCATACAAAATATATTTTTATAGTCTTTAGTGCGAAACTTGTTGTTTGCCTGTGATTAAGATATCAACATTAGGAGTAATGGAACTTATCTTTACTCTTAAGTTCTCTTCAACACTTATTCTGCTTATATATTTATTTTTTATGTACAAGAGTTCAGAAAATCCACTCTCACACAAGTAACTCGTAACAAATGGAATAAAAAATAGCAGAGCTTGCCGGAAGAGCAAAGGGTACTCCAGAAATTAGTTAAAGATTTCTCTTTAAAATAATATTTCATGGCTGTGAAAGCTGTTGAGTTTATCGTCTAGGTGAGCCAATCTTGACAACCATTCTTCATCAGCAAACAATTTTTTCATGTCATGATTTTTTCACTGAAAAACATGAACTCTTCTGATCTCAGTTCAAAGAGATGGTTAAAAATTTTCCCACGAGATAACCATCTCACTTTTGCATGCAGGAATGAAGTTTTGAATTCGCCAACCAATTCTTCACACATCAAGGAGAATAATCTTGTGTTTAGAGCCCTAGCCTTTATGAACTTACTAACTTTCACAGCATCTGATAGAACAGTTAAGATTTTTCGGCATACCTTTAGCAGCTAATGCTTCTCGATGGATGACACAATGCGTACTTTTACATTCAGGAGCAACTCTCTTCATTTTTGCTGTTTGCTGTAGCCCTGTCAATATTCTTGACATAGCTTTTGCCCCATCTGTACACAAGCCAATACACCTGGACTAGGGAATGCCTACTTTGAGCGCATATTAATCAATTACCTTAAAAATGAGTTCCGCTGTTGTATTTGATTCAAGTGGTTTGCAGAAAAAAAACTCTTCTATCGCCACTTCATTATAATCAAATCACACGAAAACAAGTAGCTGCACTATGTTTGTAACACCAGTGCTTTCGTCAAGTGCATTCTTGGAGTTTTAAAGTCACTTGTTCTCAATATTATCAGACATATCGTCAATTCGTCTTTTTACTGTGTTATTTGACAGTGGTATTTTTTTAATTTCTTTGGCTGCCTTTTCTCCTTTTCTTGAACCATATCCACAGCGGCCGGCAGTAAAAGCGTCTCACCTATTGTGTAAGGCTTTCTATCTTTTGCAATTCTTAAACTAGCAAGATATGACGCTTTTATCAAGTTAGTATCAGTATTGACAAACTTCATCAAACATTGGGTTTCTTTCTTCAAAAAATTAGATTTTCTTTCAAAAAATTCAATGGGCTTACCAATCAAATCAGGGTGCTTAGTATTTTGGTGTCACATCAGTAAAGAAGGCTTCATGGATTGGTTCGAAAGTGTTTCAAGACATATAATACATTGAGGAATAGGAATGTCACTGGTTTCAGTTCCTGGCTTCACTATAAAACGGTATTGTAAGTAGCTTTCATCGTATTTACGATTGGCCGGTAATTTAGGTTTTTTAGCACGATCCTTTGAAGTAGAAGAGGACGTCAGAAATAGTTTCATAGTTCAGTTTTCTTATACGAAATCAGAATTAATAATTACAACACCCACAACGAACCTGTAATGCCAAGTGAAAGTAAAAGACAATCCTTTTAAAGACCCACAGGTAAAAAATGAGACACGCTTTATTTAGCAATTGTACTATCTGGGGATTCCTAGGTAAAATTCCTAAAGTGTTTAATTGTTTTATTACCTAGGAATTATAAATTCCAATGTAATAAAAAAACAAAGATGTCGGGTCGTTTACTAGGTTATGGGTATTTCGTTTTCTAGCGACCGGTGAGCTGAGTCATGTTTGCTATTAACAGCATGTTGCTCACATAACTCGAACGTACCACCTGAAACGTTCCCATGTACCACTGGTGGTACGCGTACCATCGGTTGAGAACCACTGCCATAGATGACATCTTCTTGAGGAGATAGAGCATCGATGATTGCACTCATGATTCAGAGTAGCACCACCAATGACAGCTATGGTGGGTTAAAACAACGCTGTATTGTGTTGGATTAGAATGCTTTGTTTTTAAGGTCTTGTGTTATCAATAAGTTGACGGATGTAACTGTTACTACCACATAGTAGCGGCTACATGGTATGTTTTTATACAAATTGTATTTGTAACTAATGTCCTGCAGTTTCGTTCTATAAGAACATTTTCAAATGAATACAATAAACTGAAATAATTAACAATGTTAACCCTTATATGTCTATACACCACTGTAGGTAATAACAGGCGGTCCTTAACTGAGTACCTTTTTTTTGTTTACCTGTGACAATGTGGGTAGGCTAATCTGAAACCTGATGAGTAGACCAAGTCGATTTGATCATTTAGTAGGTTACTTCCTGATTGCTTATGCTTATCAATTTCCGAGGATTCCAAATTATTGAGTTTCCAACGCTTACTTGCATAGTGCAAAATTTCCATATCGTTTAGATTCCGGAACTTGTGGTTGCTTCCAAGAAATGGTTTGAAAACGTCGAATCATTTTCACTTCGTCGGTAGGATGAAGAAATTTTGGCCACATTGTCCTGCAAACACTGGGGCTTATTAACTCCAGATTTCTCCATCTTGTCCACTTTATCTTTGGCATTAAAAAGGAAATTAGATAACTTGGCATGTGGCCTGAATGCCATTTCCACATTGTTTTTTCTAAAAAATCCTACTATTGTCTCTGTTCTTTCACCAAAATATGTTAAAGTTGAAGATTTTTTGATTTCTGATTGTTTGTTTGATTGTTTAATCTGTATGTAAATTTGAAGCTTTGATTTTTGACTAACTTCTGGATTGTGTCTGCTTTGAAACTATTATTATGTTCTATCTGTATAATCATTTTAATTTCCCTATCTAGATTGTTAGCAGACAAAGGTAACGAGAATGCTCTGTGTAATATCGAATTGTAGGTTGCTAACTTATGACTGTCGTGATGGAAATAATTACTTGGGATTGTCATGTCTGTATAGCTCGGTTTTCTGAATACATTTTATTATGATTTTGTGTGATGGTCAGGTCTAAGATCATAATAATAATTTATTTTCAAAAGTAAAAATTGAAATGCCAACTTGACATTGTCAAGCAATGTTACTTGGTGTGCCACAGCGCCTCTATTATCTTTTCATTGAGAATTTCGTAGGTCGAGTGTTTTTGACAAATTATTTTACATAGGGAAGTGGACACTAATCATAACATCTTTTTATAGAACTTTTTTCATAGGTTCATTAGTTGGACTGAAAGAATTCAGGGAACCAATCAAACAATCCAAAACACTCCAAAACACTCCTCTGGCAAGGAGTTGAGCACAAATATTTTTATTGAACCCTTGTGTATAAAACCCATTTATGTTAATTTTATATCACTACCCTTTGGTTTATTATATTGTGTTCATTTTTTCTGAATGATATATGATTTTCCATAATAATTTTGAAAGAAATGGTCTTTTCTGTGTTTCTCAGATTCTGAATATTCTGTTCGACAAGTAATTGTAGAAGCTTGGCATTTCAACAGCTCATTTGAACATACCAAGCGCTTATGATCCTTAGGATTTTTTCAATAATTTGTGGATAATAATATTGAGCTATTTTTTTTTTCTGTTCCCACATTTTTTGCTTTTTATTCAATTTAGATATGATGGGTTCTTATGATGCACTGTTTGGAACTTTTGGTGTAGTAATTAATATTACTGGAGTTTTTTCCCAACACCAAATCGTTATTTATAACACCTCGACACGTATTTCGATCACCAAGTGATCATCTTCAAAGAGGACGATTAAAACTGTTTTAATCTTCCTCTTTGAAGCTATTTGAAACTGTTTTAATCTTCCTCTTTGAAGATGGTCACTTGGTGATCGAAACACGTGTCAAGGTGTTAAAAATAACGATTTGGTGTTGGGAAAAAAACTCCAGTAATATTCATGATGGGTTCTGCTAGTTTAATGTTAGGCTAGCAAAACTTACCTCGTCTCCATTAGAGACAAAGCACAAAATCATCAAATGGCATGTCAGAATTGACAGGATTTCAAATTATAAATATGACAATGTATTTTGATGTATTAAGCATTAAAAATAAGGGTAGCTTTGTATAGGGATACCTATTCCGAAAAGTAGTAGTTTTTGAAATATTTGTAATTTAATAGTTTTTTATCGACAGAATACTCACTGTACGGTTGGTTTCTAAATCTGTCAGGTGGCCATGACGGCGCGGCGTTAGAAAACAATGAATTGGTACGATAATGTCACTACTTTGCAAATTGCCAATATTAAATCATGCCGGGACGATTAAATTTAACAAAGAATATTCAAATTTATTTATTGTTTAGTTATTTCAAGGAGATGTAATACATTTACGACACGATTTCCAGAAAAATAAAGAAACCCTTACCAAATAGTGTCAAGAAAATTATAACAACACTTTAAGAATTTTGGATTCTTAAGAGGCAATGTGCAGAAAAATTGAATAGTTATCAAAGAAAATATTGAAATACAATGAAGAGATACAAAAATATTATTTTAATAAATGTTCAAGTTTATGCCACTGAAGTTCTAGACTTTTCTCGCACCTACTTAGTAATTCTTCGTGGGTGGCGTTTCAGACGGTTCATTAAATTTCATTTGTATTCTTTTTCTTTGACCACCCTGTATTAATAATTATCGAAATTTCGAAGATCGGAAATTTCGGTTTTACAAAACACTTGGTAAATTGGTTTGGTAGTTTTTTGGCTGGTCGTTCACAACAGGTTAAAATTGGTGGATGCAAATCGAGTGATATATTAGTAATATCTGTAGTGCCACAAGGTTCACATTGTTCACCACTGTTATTTAATATTTTTGTGAATGACGTAGGATGCTGTTTTGAGAACAGTGAATTTTTAATGTTTGCGGATGACCTGAAGCTTTTCAGACCGATAAAGTCTTACAATGACCAAATTCTCCTTCAAGATGATCTAAATAAAGTTTGTGAATGGTGTGTTACAAATAACTTATTTCTTAATGTAAATAAATGCCATTTTATTACTTTCTCAAGAGTTTGTAGGAAATTCGATACATCATACAACATAAATGGTCAGCACTTAGAATACACTTCCTCCATAAAAGATTTGGGGGTCATTTTTGACGAACAACTCAAATTTGTAAACCATATTAACCAAGTGAGTGTGAAATCATCCAAAACACTGGGTCTTATTTTACGTCATTGTTCAGGATTTTCCATTGATGTATTAAAATGGATTTATTTAGCTCTAGTGGTGTCTAAGTTAGAATATGCATGTATCATTTGGTCTCCATTTTACAATGTGCATTGTGTGTCTATTAAGAGTGCAAAACAATATTTTGAGATTTTGTTCTTTCAAGTTGGGTCTTCAAATACAGTACCATGACTATTCGGGTATATTACAAGAAATGGAGCTGAAACTATTGCAAACCAGATGAATTCATGTAGATCTATGCTATGCATTCAAGCTGCTCAATGGACGAATAACTTGTCCTGAATTACTTGAATCTGTCAACATTCATGTTCCGAACAGGAATCTTAGACACATCCATTTATTTCATATACCCTTCCATCATACAAATTATGGCAAACATACACCCTTGGAAAGAACCCTAAAGTTAGTAGATGACAAAAACATCAGTATTTTTGGTGTCTCTTATGGTCGTTTTAAACAATCATTGAATAATTTAAGTTGGTAATTGTTTACATAAGGTAGTAACAAGTTTAATTTTAATTCTATATCCTATAGTATTTTATAATGTTATGTAGTTGTGTGCTGCAGAAACATTCCGTAGCGTTTTAGTTTATATTTTACATTTTTATATTGTACTTTTTTTTTCTGTGAAATTTTTACACTGTAATGGGGTTTATCCCGTATAAATAAATAAAATAAATAAATTTCACATAAAGTCTATTACATTTGGTTTCTATTACATTTGGTTCCCCTCTACAAGGAACCCGACCAAAATATACATGTGTATACATAATGTGGTCAAATGAAATATCTATCTATTTATTCTTTTTTTTTCAGATGAAATCAAGAAATTTTGAGAAGGTTGAGAAGGTATGGAATCATTCTTGTGTAAAAGATGTTTTTTCAAATAAATATCCAATAAAATTTTCTACATGCAGAAATCATGATTTTCTTACTTTTCACTGTTGTGTTTAAAAATCGGGAGGACACTTTTTTGAACCACTGCTAAAAAATCATAATCACCATAGGTATAGGCAAGTAAGCAAATAATTCTCAATTGGTCTATGTGAAAGATATTCGTTTCACTTTGGTTGATTTTAGATGTGCTGTGAACATCATTGAATCTTGAGACATGTAGATGCAATTGTCTTGTCCGATGATATATAGGTATATTTCATATTAAAAGTGTATTTGTAGGTGGTATGAAAGGTCTCTTTCTGATTTAATTTTACCTCATGAAAATTGTTTGAAAAGAAATTTCAGTGTTAATAACATTTGCTAAAGACTGGATGAACATTGTGTGTTTTATTTTTTAAACCTACATCCATTCCTATTTCCTTTTCTGTAATCTTACCTTGGTCTTTCAAATAAATGACTAAATTATTCATTTGTAGTTTTATATCTTCTTTGAATGTTTTTCTAGTCTTTACCCAATGTTCGAATCTGAAAGAAAATATATTTGATTAGGAAATGAAAATTGAGTGGAACGTTTAAAAGAAGGAAACAATGTTTTAAAATATCAAGATTTACTTAATTTCACTTCAAAATATCTGTTATTCTTGATCTTGCAACAGTAGTTATGATTTTTTGTGTTTGAAAATAGTTGATGTTTTTGCAGGACTTTGAGAAGTCTTGTTGCGGTCACATATAAGTGGACTGTTGAAAAAATAAGGTGAATGTTCAAAATTTCGCGGGCTACGTACATTCCATTAGCGACTTTTTGATTTTTTTATGTTAGTACACTCGTCTCGAACATATGTTCATAGTTTCAGCTTTTAGTACGCTTAGTTTGTTGGTGAGAAGCTTGAAAGTTGAAGTGTTTTGCGTGTTCGGCAATTTTCAGCTATCGAAAAAAATTGATCAAAGAATTTGCGTCAAATTTTGTCTGAAAAATGGAATGAAGTGGTCAAAAACACTTGAAATGTTGACAGTGGTATATGGTGATTGTACTCTGAGTCAGAAAGATGACTACGAGTAGTACAAGCTTTTCACAGAAGGTCAACAACCGATGAAAATTTTGAGAAAGCGAAGAAAATTGTTATGGAGAATACTCGAGTCACTATTGAAGAAGTTGCTGAGGGGGTCGGCATATCGGTTGGCTCATGCAATTTTTTCGGAAATTTTGGACATGAAGCGTGTGACAGCGAAGTTCGTTTCAAAATTGCTGAATTTTGACCTAAAAAACCATCGCATTAGCATCGCTCAGGAATTGTTGTATGACGTCAACGGTGATCCAGATTTGCCTTAAAGGATCATAACTGGTGACGAATCATGGGTATATGGTTATGAAATCGAAACCAAAGTTCCAATGGAAGAGCCCTGGACAGCCAAGACTAAACAAAGCATGCCAAGTTCGATCAAATTTCAAGGTTTTGCCCACTGTTTTTTTAGTTACCGTGGCGTAGTGTATCAGGAATTCTTGCCACATGGTCATATGGTCAATAAGGAGTAGTATCTTGTTTTTAAGAAATATTCAAAGGAATCTATGATTTTTAGAGAAAAGATGGCTCAGGCTTATAATTATGCGCCGTCCGGTTTTGTGGAAAAACAATTGATGGCTTTCGCATCACGATAATGCATCTGCTCACTCGTCACTTATTGTTCGTAATTTTTTGCCCAAAAAAAAACACCGTAATCATGCCTCAGCCACCGTATTCATCAGATTTGTCTCCGTTCGACTTTTTCCAGTTCCCGAAAATAAAGAGACCCATGAGGAGATAAAAATCGAATCGCTGAGAGAGCTCAAGGACATATCAGAACTGCTTCAAGGATTGGAAAAAACTCTGGCGCAAGTTTATTATACTCGAGAGGGCCTACTTTGAAGGAGACAAAATAGAAATTCATTGATAAATAAATAACGTATTCAAAAAGACTTTATTGTGATTTTCACCAAACAATTTTACAAAAACGCAACACGTGTTTCGCTATACGGGCGCTCGAAGAAGCCATTGTATGGCGAAACACGTGTTCCGTTTTTGTAAAATTGCTTAGTGAAAATCTCATAATAAAGTGTTTTTTGAATACGTTAGTTATGGATTTTCATCAAGTATCGTCCAATTCCATCATATAGAATAAATAAATATTTTACCTTATTTTTTGAACAGACAGCGACTTGAATGTATCCTGGAAGTTTATTTTCGTGTAGTAGCTTGAGCATTTCAGTTTGTGGTGAAAAAGTATCAATTGAACACATACTTGATGAATTATTTGTTAGTAATTATTGGATGTACTTCAAAATCTATCATTTTTGGAATATTTTTCTTTGTTTTAAACGCAAAAACCAATTACTCATTTTCTTATAAAGAACTTCGATATATTATATATGTAATACAAATTTGTTGACAGCTATTTCAAAGATGCTTAATGAAGATTCTGAATATCGAATTGTGGAAGTTGTATCTTACTTATGTTAAAGAAACTAAAGCTTCTCTGCCAACGTACAAGTAAGTATGGCAAGTGTATAATTTGGTTGAAGGTAACTTTTTGAGATCCTCTTTGTTTTTAAGAAATATTCAAACACTATTCAAAGGCATCTATGATTTTTAGAGAAAAGATGGCTCAGGCTTATGATTTTGCGCTAGATCGTATAGGAATGGATATCCACTCCTACTCTATATGGAATGATTATGTAAACTTTTTGAAAGGAGTGGAAGCTGTTGGTTCATACGCAGAAAATCAAAAAATATCAGCAGTTCGAAAAGTTTATCAGAGAGGTATAATTACCCCAATGACAGGCATGGAGACGTTTTGGAAAGATTATATTGCGTTTGAACAGGTATGATGAGTTAATTATCTTTCCAAAGTGTTTACATAAACGGTATTAGAAATTAATATAAAAATGAGTTTTCAGAATATTAATGCTATTATTGCTGAAAAAATGAGCATTGAACGAAGCAGGGATTACATGAATGCTAGAAGGGTTGCGAAAGAACTTGAAGTACAGATACGCGGTATAAATAGAAATGCACCAAGTATTCCTCCTGGTGGTGCTCAAGAAGAAAGAAAACAGGTAAATAGTTGGTATTCAGGATATCTCAAAAAATGTATATCTATCCCAATAAATTATGTTTATATTTAAAAATATATAAAAACATTAAAAATTCAAGGAATCTAGTTGAATTAAAAATTATTCAAATATGTGTTTGGATTAGTCAGTTCTACTGTGAATGTATGTGATTTAAAGACGAAATAAACCAGGAATCAAAAGTTTCAAGTCAAGATTTTTATTTTATATCTTTTCAAATTATTTCCAATATCAGAATCGTCTTTTTTATAAACATGCAATGAAAAGTTATTTAAACATACCAAGTGATCAAAATTAACTAATAACAACCGAGTGAAAAAAAATGAACTAAAAGTATTTAGTAAATTATTATGTAGGTAGTTTAAAACTACTAAAATAAATTGTTTGTTGATATTTGAAACCAATAGATAAATGAAATAATGATAAATTCATATCTATCTAGGTGGTTTTATAGTTATTGTTGATTTTATTGTGGAATTTAATGAACTATTTCAAGATGATAGAAGAAAATTTGTAGTAATAAACATGAATATAGATTTTTCATAAAGATGATTTGGTGTGCTTTCAAAAATGAATTTCGATATATTGTTCAGTTCCTATATTTAAGAATGTCTGTTCTGCAGGTCGAGCTTTGGCAAAAATACATTGCATGGGAAAAAAGTAATCCTTTGCGTACAGAAGACACAGCCTTGCTCACTAAAAGAGTAGTATTTGCTCTTGAGCAGTGCTTATTATGTCTTGGACATCACCCAGACATATGGTATCAAGCTGCACAGTTCTTAGAATACAGTTGCAAAATTTTAGCTGAAAAGGGGGTAAGTCAATAAACTTTTACTTACTTTTATCTCGAAATTTCGACACTTATCTCGAAATTTCGACACTTATCTCGAAATTTCGACTTTTATCTCGAAATTTCGACTTTGATCTCGAAATTTCGACTTTAATCTCGAAATTTCGACATTTATCTCGAAATTTCGACTTTGATCTCGAAATTTCGACTTTTATCTCGAAATTTCGACTTTTATCTCGAAATATCGACTTTGATCTCGAAATTTTGACATTCATCTCGAAATTTCGACTTTTATCTTGTTTCGCATTATTAGATGCTCCATGTTGGACAGATTTCAACAAAGTATAAAACATATGGTCTGAAGCTTATGGTTCGGGAGCTACAAATTATTTGAGTTGAAAACGAGCCACCTTGAATAACTTTTGGAACAATGATTTTCAGGAAAAATAAAAAACACCTCAACAATAGTATACATGGAGACACATTTTGACATATTCATATTTGATCTTACTTTCCCTGTCGCACCTCTCGAGCATGTCACCATGTTTTTTTAAATAGATCAATTGTTTTGCATTATCAGATGTTCCATGATGAACAGATTTCAACAAAGTAGAATACATTATGGCCACCCTGAATGAACTTCTGTACAATCTGTTACCTAGGTTTCATAGGTGTATTAAAAAAAAGTATTATTTTACCTAGTTAAGTTTGAATTCTATATTCTCTTCATTTTGTAATTGTCTCATGGTGCATCGCTTCATTATGCAGCTCCAGTGCAACAATTTTTGGATGATAATTTTACTGATCGCTGGATTGGCAGAAGAGGTCCTACAGAATGACCACTAAGGTCTCCGGACCTCACTCATGTAGATTTCTTTCTATGGGGTCATTTGAAGTTTAAAGTGTATGAGATAGAATCAACAACGTTAGAAGATTTGAGAGAGAATATCATGAGGCATTGTAGAGAATAACTCCCGAGATTCTCAATCATGTGAGGGTGGAAACTCGTTTGTATGAAAGTTGGTGGAAACGTTTTTTGTACATTTACTATGGAACATTTTTTTCTTCTCATTGTCCAGTCATCAGATTTTGATTCAAGAATTGATAAAAAATCTCTTTATCTGATTTATTGCCTCCATTTGTCTGTAGACGAATATTTCAAAAAGTGGCCCCCTTTATAATTGTTGAACTGTTTTTTTATTTTTCCTACAAATCATTGTTTCAAAAGTTATTCAGGGTGGCTCGTTTTCAACTCAAATAATTTGGTGCTCTCGAACCATAATCTTCAAACCATATGTTTTATACTTTGTTGAAATCTGCTCATCATGGAGCATCTGATAATGCGAAACAATATAGAGTGATCCATTTATATTAGTATTTGTTTACTTTGTATACTTTGACTTTGAGTATGGCCATTCGCCAGCTTACTCCTCAAGTCAAGCTCTCGTAAAGAAGTTCTACTTCAACAATTATTTTCAGTTGTATTTGGAATCGTCATGATCAAAAATAATACATTATCTAAATTGGTTTTTAACTTCACTATCAAGGCAACTTGTTTCTCAATTTTTGGAAATATTTCAACATTCATTTTTCACTTTTTCGAAATAAAATTGAAAAAAATTTTATTCTATCACATCTCTTACAGTATCAGTCTTTTAACATATTGTCAAAACTACAAAACTTTTTAAATGATTTATTTTAGGATGTGAATGCCTCAAAATTGTTCAGTGAAGAGGCAGCTAATATGTTCGAAAGAGCCACCAGCACTTTATTGAGTAAAAATATGCTGTTATACTTTGCTTATGCAGACTACGAGGAAGGAAGACTGAAATATGAAAAAGTACACCAAATTTATTCTAAATATTTGGAAATCAAGGATATCGATCCTACACTGGTAATTATAAATTCACATACTTTTAGCAATGTTACCTGAACTACATGAGTCCTCATCATAAAAACCCTTTTTGAAGATACCTGAAATGTTCAAAAATATTCAAAATACCTATTAGAAACCTATTTAAATTTGAAATTGGAATATTGTAGGCATACATTCAGTACATGAAGTTTGCAAGACGAGCAGAAGGAATCAAATCAGCCAGAGCAGTCTTTAAAAAGGCCAGAGAAGACAACCGTTCCAAATACCATTTGTTTGTCTGCGCCGCTCTTATGGAGTACTACTGCAGTAAAGACAAAAACATTGCTTTTAGGATTTTCGAACTTGGACTGAAAAAATTTGGAGCTATTCCTGAGTACATTACTTGCTACATAGACTATTTGTCTCACTTGAATGAAGATAACAATACGAGGGTTTTGTTTGAAAGAGTTCTATCATCCGGAAGTTTAGAACCAGAAAAGTCTGTGTAAGTCTCTTTACCGAATTATTTTTCAGTTTTTTTCATACTCATTTGAGTTTGACCAAAGTTAGCGTGGTAGTTTTTTTTATTTATCATAGGATTTCGACTGTTTAGATCATGGGATACTATGGCAAAGACTTCAGCATTATGGAAATTGAGATTGTAATGTCAGCTGGTTAGAATCGTCAAAACCAGCTCCGGAGAACTGATCTGGATCTATCTTGTTTCTCTTATACTTTAATGTTCTCAATTTCAACGATATTTTCATCTCTTTTCTTGCTCTACTGTCTCTAGCCAAATTAATCAAAGACGCACGTCCCTGCTGGCGGGTAGCGGAAGTAAGCACTCGAAATAATTGCGACGAGAATAAAGTACAGCATTTCTTATTGAATGCTCACATTCGCCTGTTCATCACTTGGCAACGCTGACAAGAGTTCAAATACGAAAATGATGTGCAAATTTTCACTTATTTTAGGTTTCTCTTGTTTGCAGTTAAGTTTGTGATTCCACAGAATGTAGCTTTGTGAAAAAAGATAAAATGTTTATTTTGTATCAGAATAGGTTTGTGAAATTAGTATATTTGATGCATTTTATGCTTGGCCATACTTCTAGATAGCTATTTATGTAAAGAGTTACGAAAAGTTTAATTTTGTGTAACGAGCGCGAGTGGCGCAAGTTACAAAAAATGAAATCCTATCGTGTTACGTACAAGATTTTTTCTAATTTCATTAAAACATTTTTTTCATTATTTTTCAATGATAAAGTATTGAATCTACAAGTGTAGATGAACAACACCGATTCTGGCTCAAACGGGAGTGGGGGAAACGTCATCGACGCCCCCTCGCCTCGGCCCCCTTGTCACGTTCCAGTCACGTGATTTTAATTAAATAAAGTTTATAGTTATGAGATTCGAACCTGGATCGTCCGCGTGATAGACATTGTCCTTAGCCTCTACACCAACGTAAGATATTGAAGTTAACTGCGAATGTTCGGTATTTACAGCGTTAGTTTTATCGGGACCGAAATTGACTCATTCATTATTGACACATTGACTCATTCAATATACTTAGATTTGGGAAATAATTAATATTTCATATAAAGATATGTATGTGTGTGTAAGAGCCCCCATGGTGTTCCGTATGAATTTACGTGGCTTTGCGTATAGGATTTTGAGAGATTCATTTGAATAATTTATCGTACGGAATTGTTTTCATGTCCTGTTATCAGTAACCACACATAGATAAGCGCTCGATTCATCGATACAAAAGTATATGAAAACAATAAAAGTTATAGAACACACAGAGTCATCTATGAGTCACTAACTGAACTATCTATTGGTTGAAGAAGGACACTGTAAACACTAGACTCGTAAGACCTCATCTGTCAAATGTCAATACATGCCAGCATGGCAGGTTCAGCGTTGCCGGTTGTAAAATTTATCGTTGTTTATGGGGCAATGTTGCGTTGCCGGTTTTGTAATTAATCGTAAACGACTCGATGAAAATTGGAAGCGCGAAAATGATATATTAATAATAATGACTCAGATTTAAGAAAAAATATTACAGATTAATGAAGCTGTATCGTTTCAAAGTGCGATCCCTCAATGTTACAAGGTATCTCAAAATACATCATTGAAAACAAACATGGCGTCGAAGTGTACAGGGTGCGTCAAAATACATCATTTAAGAAAAAACATAACAGTTCCACGAGGCTGCAAGTTTTCAACGTGCGTTCCCTCAATGTGTACAAGGTATCTCAAAATACATCATTGAAAAACAAATATGACGTCGAAGTGTACAGGGTGCGTCAAAATATATCATTTAAGGAAAAAAACATGTCGATTTAAAATATGATATTAATGTGTATACAGGGCGTTTCAAAATACATCATTTCAAAAAAAACATGTCGATTCAACAGAAGTCTAGCGTTCCAACATGTCGGAAGTCTCGTATCTTTGTTAACCTAGTTGGCATCATCAGGAGAAGAAGGAGATGACACCTAAAGTGTCGAGGAGTTACGTATTGAGGAGTTAACGTTTGAAAATGGGAAAAGCGAGCGTTTTACAAACGTTTCGACTGTTTTTCGTGCCACCGTTTTGCGTGCGACCGTTTTACGTGCGTTTTCGATCGTTTTTCGTGCGTTTTCGATCGTTTTTCGTGCGTTTTCGATCGTTTTTCGTGCGTTGTCGATCGTTTTTCGTGCGTTTTCGACCGTTTTTCGTGCGTTTATTCGTTATCGTTTCATCGTTATTGTCGTAACGGTTTTTCGTGTTTCAATATGACAGTTATTTATCATTTAACGCGTTCCGCTAACCAAGTAAACATCATCAGGAAATGACTAAAGTCCATGCTTTGTCATATGAAGATTCATTTTGCGAATTTTCAGACTCTTGAACGGAACCTTGTGGAACACTCAACCTAACTTCTGTTACAGAGTAGTGTCGGCCAGCTAATCAGAATGGAGAAATCAAATATCGCTCGATTGATTGTGCTTGATGAAATTGAACTGGAGAATGTGGGTCGAATAATAATAATGATAGTGATGAAACATTGAAACCTTGAAAGTGACGTAGTCAGCGTGGGAGGTGATGGCGTGTGTGATAATTTGTGGAAAGTAATGAGTTATTACAAGAAATAATAGCACAACTGTCAGAAGGGCTCTAACTTGTATATTCGCTAATAATGATCGGATCGTCGCGTACAGCACGTCAAATGAAAGGATAAGAAATGCGGAAGTCAACGACGAAGAAAAATCGAAGATGGCGCAACATGTCATAAGGGCACTAAGCCAAATCTTTGTTAATGATAGTTGAATCTCAACGTGTAGTACATCAAATGGAAGGTAAACGAATACAGAGTGTACCGACAGAGAAAAACAAAGATGGTGTAACGAATATAATATCCAACGCCTAATGTGAAATAGCATAGGAAGAATTGCAAATTCAACAAAAATCATAGAAAAAACTTGGAATTGAAAAGTGTTGGGTTATGAACAACTATAAGTTTATTCCAATTGCAGAAGCTTGATGCAAAACGCAGAATTTATTGACAAAGAAAATGAAAAAATCAATTCCGTACGATAAATTATTCAAATGAATTTCTCAAAATCCTATACGCAAAGCCACGTAAATTCATACGGAACGCCATGGGGGCTCTTACACACACATACACATCTTTATATGAAATATTAATTATTTCCCAAATCTAAGTATATTTTCCTATCTTCAATATGATAATGACGATTACATTCTACGGAAATCAAAAAAAAAATGCTGTCGAGTATAATGAATGCGTCAATTTCGGTCCCGATAAAACTAACGCTGTAAATACCCAACATTCGCAGTTAACTACAATATCTTACGTTGGTGTAGAGGCTAAGGACAATGTCTACCACGCGGACGATCCAGGTTCGAATCTCATAACTATAAACTTTTTTTAATTAAAATCACGTGACTGGAACGTGACAAGGGGGCCCGGGGCGAGGAAGAGTCGCAAGAGGGCCTGAGCGGTGATGCGGAGTCCCTAGGGGGCCGAGGGCAAGGGGGTCCACGCTTAAATCGCCACTATACTCGTTCCATCCTGCGTCGATGACGTTTCCCCCCACTCCCGTTTGAGCCAGAATCGGTGTTTTTCATCTACTTACAAGTATTTTCAGTAATCAAGGATGCTATTCATCACATAGCTTGTCACTTTGGCGTCTTCTATACATTCATTTTGCTCCATTTACTTTGAGTGATTTCATAGAGGCAGAAGAGATAGAGTAATGACTGATCAGAGTTCTGAATGGAAATTTGTTCTTGTGTTGTGTGATTTCCGAGTTGAAGAGTAGGTATGATAAAATCACTGAACCGAGACAAGAATTAGCGAATGGTATAAAATTATAGTTATAACAGGTACATTCGGTAATCATTTACAAAAAATAAAACATGTCATGATAGTTTACAAGAAGTGAGGCGTTTTGTTTTCGTTAATTTCATAAATATATTTTTTATATCATTCGGTAATTCTAAGCAAGGTTCAATCATTCTTCCTTACTTTTCAACTTGGAAATCACTCAACACAAGTACAAATTCTGATTCAAGACTAGATCCAGTAATTTTTTTTTCACATTTCAAAATCACTCGGAACGAGTTGAATAAATTTATAGAAGACGTCAAATCGACAAGTTATGTGATGAACATAATTGTTTAATGGAAATGAACTGTGAGTAATACTCAGAGAGTTTCATTGAAAACAATAAAATATAACGTTGAATGAGCGAAAAGTAAAATAAATCACATTTCTATGAAACATGTATTTTATTTTTATGAAATACAATAAACTATAACACTAAAAAAATTAAATGAAACTTAGAGAATCTTAAAAAGATGGAACACCAATATTTTTGGAAACTTATTCATTATCAATTTCAATAGAAATAAAATAGCAGATAGAAAAAGTGATGATGATCGACTTTATTTATGTGAAGTTGACAAATGGAAAATAAAAATGTGATACTAACTTTCTGAACAAAAGAGTGGAGTTCAACTTATACGAAGAATAAATTATAATAGGTAACATGTATTTGTGAACATATAGAAATGACCGAATTGATTAAACGAGATTGGATGGTGTAAAAGTTGAATCTTGTAGAGACCAATTACCCTAACATAAAACTGATATTATTTGCACTTGACGCGTGTTTTGCTAACAGCGATGTTGCCAAACCCTTCTCTGCTCTAATATGGGTTCAGTTTTTACCAGATGGAGGCACTTGACGGGTGAAAATTCATTGAATAAAGAAAACACGTTTTATAAATTAGTCAAACATTATTTCATATTTTATTTTGTGAAGAAGTTAACTATATTCAATCGTACAATGTCGCTAAAGTAAAAATTTTGAAATTCGTCAAAGGAATAAAAAGTTAAAAATGTTTGAATGAATAAATGTAAAAAAATGAGTTAGCGACATTCTTCGTTACATCATCGATAACTTTCTCATATACATATTTTTTATGTAACATCTCATTTCTTCACAAAGTGTTTTCGCGATTTTCGATATGGCGCTGCCACTCCATAGGACTCTTAAGAATCGTGTTACATCAATTGACTGTCTTTCATTATTAGAACTTCAACATTTTAATGTGTATTACCGGATACGACCTTAGGAACTGAAACTATTTCTTTATTTGACAGTCCACTTTTTCACTTCAAGTTTGCACCCCAAGATGCTTTTCTGAAGGATCACCTTATAAAGTTATATCTCTGAACTTAGCAGGTCATAGGTGTACTAAGACCATAACACGTGTTTTATATTGTGAATAAACTAGAAAACTGGGAACACCAGTACAAGTCAATCCTCTCACATAAAACAAGTTGTTCTAATCGATATACGTAGTTTAGTAAAGGTTACAAGTGTTTCATTTACCAAAAATAAGTCAGTTGGACAATTAATAGATAGCAACAAATTTGGTCACTGCTATCATACTTTTCATACCGTATCGAGGTAATCTTGGAAACGGTATGTCTAGTATAAAAAAAATTAAGCTTGCTGTGACTTGGTTATTGGTTTTAATCTCCTACATAATAACTTTTAGAGTGCCCGATCCTCCATCCAATCTGAACAAGAATTTCACTTACACTTTTCAAACTTGCAGTAGAAAATTATACTTTTTCTGAATTATGGAAGGTGCAAGGTTTGAGTTTGTACAACATTGATTGATTGATTTCAAGTAAACTCCTTCATGTAAATATGTACTTGACCCTTTTAATGGATAATAATGAACGCACTTCAAGAAACTATTGTATAGTGAAAAACGTTGTGGTTTTATAAACTGTTCAGTGAAAATTCAACAATTAAGTGTTACTTGAGTATGTTAATAATAACTAATATTTCTCGTTGAAGATAGGTTGATTCTGTAAAGAAACATGGCCGATAAACTGAGAATAGTAAATTGATGGATGTAGCCGTTACTAAGTGGTAGGAAATCGTCATGAAAAATTAGAAATAAAACTTTCTGTTTTTATACCAGTTGTATTTGTAACTAGTGTACTGCGATAAACAGTTTATTGTATTTGTTTGAAAATGTCCTTACGAGACAAAACTTCAGTAACGTTAGTTACAAATACAAGTGGTATAAAAACATAGGAAGTTTATTTCTCATTTTTCTCAATAGCCATGGTGTTCTTGGAACACAAGGCAAATGATCAAAGCAATCGTTGCTCAAAATCAAGGAACTAAAATATTTAATATGTTATTTTTTTCTTTGAAATCAATAAAATCAGAACGGAAATGATGTAATACTTGGTGAATCATACTGATGAATATTAATTTTCCTACCTCATAAAACTTCTTCAAAAAGTGTTCGCCACTGAAGTTTCTTGTAACATTCAGTTGGGTAAAACATTTGAAAATGAACCTTTCTCTGTTTTGCTCATGTAGCTTTCTTTGTTTTACAGAAAAGAACGAAAAGCTAATAAAAACAACTAGTGTGTCATGATTTGATCACACTGTTTCTTGGAAACAAGACATAAAATTAGCTCCTGAGTATGCTCTTACATTTTTTACCGCAATTAGGAATCATTTTGTATAAATATTCATTTAATATCATTTTAATTTTTACAGGGATATATGGAATAAATTTTTGGAGTTTGAGTGTAATATTGGAGACTTGCAGTCAATTGTGAAAGTAGAGAAGCGTCGTTCAGAAGTTTTGTCAAAGATCAAAGAGTTTGAAGGAAAAGAAACTGCCCAACTTGTTGACAGATACCGTTTCTTGGATCTGTTTCCATGTACTGCCCAAGAGTTGAAAAGTATTGGGTAGGTGAATATTTTAATCTATATTAGGGGTTATTTTTAATTAATTAGTCAGTTCGTTGACACAAAGTCTGATGTTCTATTGAGATCGAAATATCTCTGGATATGGATGCCTATCAGATTTGCCTCAGTGTACATAGATTAAACTTCCTCCAGAATGCTCCATTTATCTAAAAGGTGATAATAATAATATTAAAAAAAATGAACTATTCGAATACTTTTCTATTTTTTCATTTTCTTTTTGCAATTACCTCTCTTTCATGGAAAAATTAATATTATTCCTATTCTTAAAATACAAGTTCAATATTATTTGTATTCTTGAAATAAATATGTTCCGTAAAAGTGTTATAGAGTTAGCAAAATAATCTCAACACAAACGACCATTTTTGTAAATTGTAAATTGTGATTGCAACTGCCCATTTTTAACGAGAGAGTGGCGAAAGTGCAGAAAATGGTAGCAGAAAGGAGATGGGGAGAACAAACGTGAATTGTATGGAAAAAAGGCCATTGTATAGAAAACGAGGAAAACAGAAGCACATAAGGGAAGTATCAGAGGGAACATGTCACAAGGGAGATAGAGAGGGACGGGTGTACTATTTAGAAGATAATGTAAATTAAAGAAAGGATGAGAGGAGATTGGTTGAGAGTGGGATGAAAGAGTAACTGGAAGACTTCGCTACATATTTTGAGGGAATGTCTGGAATGATATGGTGGCCCTGACGCAAAAGTATATTCAAACGGTGTTTTGTGACTATCTTTCAAGGTTTTTATTTAGGTCTGAACCATGTCCGTGCAGATGGGATGAGTCTGAAACCGGAAAGCACATCATCGAAATATTCAAGTAACACTTTATTGTGAAACACGTATTACAGTTTTGTAAACTGTTCGGTGGAAATCGCACAATAAAGTATTACTTGAATACGTTATTAATTTTCATCACATACATCATCGATAGCCGTGTGGAGCGAGTTAGAGAGAATGGAAGCGGAAAAAGGGATTTGTAGTCTGAGAGCGTTGAATAAAATAGACAACAAATGAATTGCTTTCTTTATTGAATAAGCAGAGTGTATGGTGGAGGATGAAAGAATAGGTCAGAAAAGTTCTCCAGAGTAATTGACATGTGTACTGTAGTGGGCTAATCTGTATAAAAAATAAAGGTCTTCTTTCTCCTTTGGTGGATCAACTCTTGATTCATTTGATTAGAACACATGGATTGAGGCTCGGTTTGGTTAAGCGAAGGAATATAGCTTCACTGTTGGCGATGATAGAGGAAATTTGCTCACGTTAATGCCTGGCAAGGCATGTGCATGGTGGTATTTACTGTCCATTTGCCAAACTTTTTTGTATATTTTGTTTCCTAGGGGCAATAAAGAAGGATAATTCACAATGTGAAACACTTTTGCTATTCGATTTCATTACTTTGTCAATTCATTTTGGATACACAAATTGATTGTGACTTGGTATAATTTCAGAGATTGTTTGAGTATATTATATAAACTATTGGAACTAATAGTTAGAAACTAACAGTCATTATTTTAATTGTCTTAGTAAAAATGTATTACACTGCAACAGTGAATCAATCAATATGATGACCACACTAATCAAGCTGAGTTCTTGTTTACAGGTACACTGAGGTTTTGAACATTACAGGCGCCGGTAGGAATCATGTTCTGCAATCAATAATAGAAAGTGAAACAGAAGCACCGTTACCTGTTCCAGACTACTCACAGATGATTCCTTACAAACCTAAATCTAATCCTTTGCCTGGCGAACATCCAGTTCCAGGTAATCTGTGCAAACAATTTTCAATTATTTCTATACTGGATTTAAAAGCATTTCATCTATAGAAATTTCAAATTTTTTGAGATATAAATTTTTCTGCAACAAACTTTATTCTGTTATAAAAAAATATTGGAGGGAAATTCACTTTGAAATAATCAACATATAATTTTATTTCAAATCTTTTATTTGGAACGTGTTCTAGAGACACCTAACAGTTTATATTTTATTGTTAATTGAACTAAGGGACAATGAAAACGTTTGTTTTTTTTTCACAGGTGGTACTTTTCCTCTTCCACCTACAGCAGCTCATTTATGTACACTTCTACCCCCTCCAAACTGCTTCCGTGGTCCATTTGTTCATATTGATATTCTCATGGACATTTTCAGTAGAATTCATCTGCCGGACACCTGTAAGTATTCATAACATTAATGACTCTTATTAAATTGAAAGAAATGCTCTTGATGAAAACATTTACTCATCATCAATTCAATTTATGAATTGACAGAATACACTTTTCCGCATAATGAATGGAAAACATTGAACTATGCAATGTACATGATCATTTAACAAGGCTAATCAAGGCTGTTTACAAGGAATCTCACATCTGTTTTACCCAGAAAATCTTAAATTCACAAGAAAAATTACCTATAATCAATTATCAAAATAAATTTAACGTTTTTTCATTATAGCAAAATTCTGGTTGGCATAAAATATTTTTTCCTTCATAGCCAAATTTGAATTTGCTTCAAATAATTTTTTTGGTATCAGTGCCATCGACTGTTACGAACATTAGCCTCGTGTTTTGGGGAGGTTATGTAAATAACTCCATGAGCCAATTAGGGCATTTCGCACTCTCGTCAGTCATTTGAAGTAGCAGAATCAACCGAACCTCTACTAGAAAAAACCTCGCTGTGGGAATCTCCCCACATTTTTTGTACGAAGATGGAGAAGTGGAAAGTCAAAACCTTTCTTTCCGGAAAAAACCTATGGTTTGTGCAGTTTGACTTCGATAGCACTTCAGATTCAAGAAATACAATTATTTCACTAGATCACTCTCGCTTTGCTTGTGCATTTTAACTCACTTCTTATAAGTAAACTACATGTTCTTGCGACATAACCATAAAAATATCCGGATGGCAACAAATAGTACTTATTCACTGTTTCCTATGGAATCATCTGTAATCATGATAAGTAAACAGAGATGGACAAATTTCAATTCATATATGTTTCTGACAATAATCAAGGATGAATAAATATAATGATATCTAAAGCGTCCCTCAGATTCCTCTATAGGATATGCTGGAGAATAATGACCAATCTTGTTGACATGTCTGAAAAAAATATAGCAATTTAATATACAGAAGTTGTCCCAAAGATGTTGGTTTGACTATTGAAGCTGAAGATGACGATGGATTTTAGTCTTTTTTTTTATTGTGCTTGGGATCACATGTTTCAAGACATTTTTATTGCTTCCAAAGTTCTTTTGAAATACATTATTAATCATCTGGAAAACTCTTAAGTACTCTCAACTTTAACACTTTTTTAAAAATTTTGATTGGTGTACCAAAAGCTAACACGTGATCATGTGAATGGGACTATTTAAGTACTTATGTCCTGCTATCAATCTTCTATAGTAATAATTCACTTGATAAATGTGTAATGTATTATTATGAGTGTTAGAATACTTGAGAATGATGTAAAAACCGAAACCTTGGTCGAATTAATATCAATACATTTTAAGTAAGTGGAAATTAGACAAAGTATTTTATTTCTATATCTATATCATTTAATTGAAGATGAATTTCCACAAAATAAATAAGTCATCAATATCACAAAAATGAAAAAATATAGTATCTAAGAATACATATAATTCATATCTATAAAGACAATAGAAGTTTCTTTCAATATTGGTAGATCGAAATGGGACTGAAAAGGCAATGAACCATGTCACAATGAAAATCAATAGGATTGTTCATTCAATACACTTCTACTCTTCATTTACCTGTAAGAAAAGTAGTCTGAATAAAAGTAGGTATTCTAAAAACTGATGAAAAAATTGTTTTTATTCATTGAAAAGGGAAAAAACTTCCTTCTAGCAGGTACTCTTCAATGTTCATAACTGAAAGTAGTTGTTTCTGGTGATTTCAAAAATGTATTTTCCAGTAATTTCATTTTGTGCATGAAGAAGAACTATTTTTTTTATTTATATCGAATTTTAAAATAGTTGATAGTTAATTTTGGTATAAATAAAGTAAAAAAAAATTATTTTTGATATGAAAATAGAAAAATTCTTCAACGCAATAGATATCAAGACGCTAAATAAAATTGTATGGGTTGTAGATTTCATTATTACATATCTATTCATCATTTACAAATTTCACAGTTTGATGAGAGGATGCCATGAAATTTTAATTTTTCATTTTTTCTAGTTCCAGCACCTTCTGAGAGTGGTGGGGATGTAAGGTTATTTGATCTAGCAAAATCAGTTCACTGGATTGTGGAAGAAGGTGGTGGAATCGGTTTGAAGAGAAGGAAGAGAATTGGGTTAGGCCTTGATGGATCTGATGATGAGGATATGACCTTACCCCCTTCAAATGATATCTACAGGCAAAGACAGCAAAAGAGGGTCAAATGAAGAGTGGTCATTGGCCTTATGAAGTTGTTAATTAAAATTAATAATCAGAATATATTTGCAACAAGAGTATGAAATACTGATTCTTGAACTTGGCATATTTTTGTAAAAATACAAAACCTCATATTTTTCAAAAGACCAAGTTGAAGAATCTTTAATTTAGAGTTATATTTGATTTCTCCATTTTGTAAGTCTTTGCAAGTGAATACAATTTGTAAAAATATGGAAATAAAATTTTATTGTGATATTTTTGGGGATTCATCCAAATAACATCGAATATTGTTTTTCTACTCAGAGTTGATAATTAGAAAAGCATTTTTTCAGATGAGTGTTTTGTTTCTAATTGTTGATTTGTTCCAGAGAATCTGATTTTCGAAAAAAAACTGCTCTTGTATACATTAATGTTCAAGATTTGACAAATATATCCATCTCGAAACACTTAGTTTCACATAAACATTAAATTACCCAAAAGAAAAAAAACACTTTTTCCATTTGATCTATTCCCCAAACATTCATTATGGAATTGAATCAGATATCATTCACAGGGAAACTACAAAACATGATAAATGAAAGAGCATTTTTATACAATTTCATTTACTTAGAAATCTAGCATCCAAACTGCGTTTAATTTTTTTGCTGCTCCATCTTCCAACAAAAAAAACTGGAAACCCTTGAAAACAAGTGTTTTCAATCCGAATCTTTGAGAAGTACACCTTAAGGATGCTAGATTTTCATAAAATGTGTCATAGTTCAGGATATAATTGTTCAACATATAAAATGCTTTTCAGATTAAGTTTTTTAAAAGATTGTTGATAAAGTTTTGAGGTTTATGATTCAATGTTTTCAGGTAAAAAGTCATATTAGTATGCCCCAGGCGACTTTATCTGTTATGATGTGTGTAATGCAAATGAAAAGCAATTTTTCTTATCATATTTTTGGTACTCACTATTTCTGTTTTTAGAAAAGATATAAGCCAGTATTATTTACAAATGAATAGATATGAATGTTGAAATATTACCAGTGTATGTGCTCCTTCACGATTATTTGTAGTCTAAACCAAATATCACATTGATATTTTTTGTATTATAAAGACTCTAGAAGTAACTGTGGACCTTCCCCATATAATAATATGCTTTATTGCCCAAAGAATATTATGTCTTATTGACAAAGCTACAAATTTCCATCAGTCATCATAAACATAAGCATATATGTATGTATATAT